TCCTCCAGGTGACCATAAGAATGGCTAGTCTCATGTGCTCGAACAAATTCCGTTGGAAGGGTGTCCATGAGGAGGGAAAGCTTCTTTTTGCCCCCAGCAGGATAAGTGCGACATTCCATTGAAAGGGTGAGTTTGTGAGCTCGTTCCACATGGCATCCCACCATTGCCAAACCTGCATTGCCATGGGGCACGCCAGCAGGCAATGTTCCAAGTCAGCTCGTCTGCGCGGCGCACCGTCACCACAACGGGAACAGATTGGAGATAAAATTCCTATTCGTTCTAAGCTAGTGCGTGAGGTTATCCAATCCGGTGTCGGCAGGCAGCGATGTAAAATCTGCCACTGCAGCGCCCTGTGTGAAGTTGGCATTATATGAGCGTATGTGGTCCAGGGGATGTGGTGTAGCTCCCCTTGTTGTAACGGTGAATCTCTTGTCCACCAAGTTTGGATTACGGAAGTGGAGGCCGGTGGTTTGTGGATGTGTTTGTACCCCTCGCGTACCGAGTATTGCCATATTGGTGTGGGTTTCCGGCCTTTCCAGACCCATTCATCCGGGTCGAACTCAAGTGCTTCCACTGGGGTAGACATTTCATATGCAAAATAGCCTGTGTCATTGTCTCCCACCACCCTTACCCTGGTCAGATCTCGTATTGGGAGGCACTTATCCAGTTTCGGGTCCCTTTTCAGAGGGGCCCAACGTGCCCCTGGAACTTCTGGTTCATATGCCTGCAGGTTTGGCCCCCTTATTTGATTATTGCTATGTCTTGTGTCAGTAAACCCTTTACATCCTATTCCCCTTCACAATATGACAAAAGCTGAACATTCGTATACCTGGGACCACGTCATACCCCCCTTGGAGGGTGGCACTCCTGAGTTGTAGACATTGAGGTAGGATTGTGGAAGTGGGGGTGCACGAGGAACAAATTACGAGTGCGGTAGGTCGGGAGGGGTCTCATAGGAATAGAGGCCTCTATACACCATCGGGATAACCGCATGGCCGATTGCCGAAGGTGACTGTCATATGTCCAGAGTCTGACCTCGGGCTTTAGAAAAGTAAGCAAAAAAAAAGGAGTGCAGTGGTTCTTTTCATTTGCCCATGAGTAGTTGGCTTAAACCACCAGTACTTCCCGTGCCCGTTAATGCTACGCGATTTTAGGAAATGTACGGGCCACTACAGGAGCGCCCAAATTCATCCAACTGGAAACGTTTGTACTCTATTTTTTTCCACGGCCGATAGCTGGGCCAAGTACTGGTGGTTTAATTAACAGGTTGACAGTCTACTGGTTCTTTTATGAAATGCTTCAATCTGTTCTCAGATTTTCACATCTGACGCCGGGTATTGGCCCCGGTAGTTTAATGATTGTAAATTCCAATGGGACGCTGGGCCCGGTTCCCAGCACGTCCTGCTCCTTACGAAGAGATTAGAGCTTTTGTCCCAATTTAAAAAGAAAAAAGGTGTTCCTTACCTTTTTCTCCACATATTTTTTTGGGAAAACTGCTCCTCAGTCGCCTTTTTAGCTTGAAATAGGCAAGAAAAGACAAAGTGGTGCCTATGTCATCGCTAGAGTTTCAGAACGTGCAAGTTTAGGGGGGGGTTGAAACTGTGGCCTGTTTTTTGAAGTGGTGTGAATGCAGACTTAGTGGCGGCTTTTTTTGCCCTGTTTAGAGAACTGCTAATTTAAGTTGCCTATTCCAAACGCTAGGTGTGACCCAGGAGCTGTTGCCCCTATTTTTTTACACTCATCTGAGCCACATCTCTGCATCCATATAGCCCATGCAATTGCCAACAAGCCTAATTGGAATATATTGCAGTCAAGCTCATGTTTCCTGCCTGTTCTTCCTCCATGGATGGGAAACAGGCCCCAAGCAATATTGCCTTCCAATCCTGTAGCTCTCCCATTACTTTCGTCCAGACTGCGTCCCACCACACAAGTGGCACAAACCGGATAGATTATCTGATCTTGACCCCTGGGTTTGGACTTGAAATGAGCCAATCGCCCCCGCGACCTCTTCCAATGTTTGCCACATTGAACACTAGGCACCAAGCCTAACAACCTTGTTTTTTTTTAAGCCTTCTTTTTCCTTTGTGCCAATAAGGGATATGCAGGAAGGATTTTTTGTGCCAATAAGGGATATGCAGGTGGGATTTTTTGTGCCAATAAGGGATATGCAGGTGGGATCCAAAACTGGGGGGGCAGGGGGGGAATGAAGGGATCAGTTTTTTGGTGGGGGATACAATGTGGGAGTCACAAAAACGAGTTATAATTGCAGTATGGGCCAAGATACAGTTATTAATTGCAGTTTGGGCAATGTATACAACCCAGCTTTCTGGCCAGGTAGGGTGCCCGCGTGCAATTGCAAACTGTATCTTGCCCCATAGTGCAATTATAACCCGTTTTTGTCACTCTACTGAACAAGGCCCCAATCTATTCGTGGGAAGCAACACGTGCCGGGAACTGGGCCCAGCGTCCCGTATAAGATTTGTACACATCAAATTGAGTTACGGGGGGCAATGTTGACAACTTGATAGTCTATAACTTAGATGAAGTTGTGCAGCATGGATAGCCCTACCATTTTTTTTTTTTTTCCCCTTTTTTGTGAACAGCCCGAGCCAGTGCTAGGGGTGCTGATAGGAGTATAGACAAACAACTACAACTGATAGAGCAGAGGTTCATTCACAAATGCGGTTGGGTGGGCAATCAAGTTAACGGGGTGCGCCTTTTCCGCAAGATCCCAGAGAAGGTAGAAATATAGGCTTTTTTTTTTTTTTTTTTTTTTTTTTTTTTTAACACCAAAGGTGGGAAGTAGAGGGGATGCTGATAAGAGCAGACACCCCGTCTACTCACCCTACTAGAAAGATGGCTCCGTTCCATTGGTGGGGAGCTGCACCTGCTGGAAACCGGGTCCAGCGTCCCATACATCAGAAGGATTTGAAACAACAAGGAACAGCAGAAGCTGGGAACCGGGTCCAGTGTCCCATCTTATCAGAGAAGAAGGGGAATGAGAGATTTTTGTCTTGCACCTCTTCACCCTGAACAGGCGCCAAATCTACATGCTTAACTAGTGCTTCCAATCTCACTACTAAGAGTTAGACGATCTTCAGAACTCGGAAATATAGGCTACTACAAACTCCCAGCAGAATAACTGTATGCTCAACACCACACTGCTACCATCTCTGTTAAAGCAACAATTCAGGTTACCCGAAATGTTCAGGGACGCTGGACCCGGTTTCCAGCAAGTGCTGCTCCCCACCAATAGATGGAGCCTCCCCGAGAATGCTAGCGGTGCCTGCTCCTATCAGCACCCCCAGCACATCGCGGGTTGTTCTTTTCAAAAAAAAAAAAAAGGAGCAGACGCCACTATCACTCTCGGGGAGGCTCCATCTATTGGTGGGGAGCAGCACCTGCTAGAAAACGGGTCCAGTGTCCCTGAACATCATAGTTGCTTATTTGAATAAACATCCGATGCCCAGTTGATGTGGCTCAGTGGTTAGAGCACCAGTTGGAAATGCTTATTGTGGCATGAGGTTGCGGGTTCAAAACTCAATTGCAACCTTGCCCATGGACACCGGCAGTGCGTTAGATTGACACACGGCTGGACACACTCGCTGCATGGTACTATTACAGACACTGCCTGCACACCACACTGAACAAGGGTTGTGCATGGTATTGTATGTTGGTTCTGGGTTTCACATGGGTTGCTTGGGGGTGTTGGTCTTGGGTGTTCTGTTGATCTGCCCAGTCTGGCATATCACACGTTCGTGCCATTTCCACTAGCCGTTCACAACATGTTTCAATTTCAAGGGTTCGAGCTTGGTTCGGATCTTGGGGGGGTCCTTGTCCAGCTTACCCCGTTCTCTCTTCGATATACACACATGATGCTGCCTATACATCTTGATACATTGATTCACAGAGCGCACAGCCTTCGGGCATATACACAGCTTGCGAATTATACATGGCCTACGGGCTACATACACAAGTTTCCACACATAGTGCTGTCTGTACATCTTCATACATAGAAACAAGAAGCATACACAGCCTTCGGGTATACACATACATTACGAACTACACAACTATCAGACTGGGGGGGTCTAGTCACTGGGTGGGGTCTAGTATCTGCGGTAGGGACAGGTATGGGCCACCGGAGTTCCTACTGATATTCGGGTAGAACTGTCTAGTGGCTATATATAAGGCTTACACCCTGGGGTAAGGGTAGGGGTATAAGTTGCTCAGGCCAGTCCGAGTTCCGCCTGGCCTTGGGTAAGCTAGGGGAAGGACGGTAAGACTGCTTCAATGGGTGCTACTGTGCCTGAAACCTAGGGCCCAGAGTCTCTTGGGGCCTGTAGTAGATTGTCTGGGCCTGGCGTCCGAAGTTCCCGTTCGACAAGGCTCGTCCGATTCTGCTTCCACCAGGGCTGGGCAACCAAGTTACCTGCCCATTGGTAGGGTAATGGTCACACTGAGGTAGGATAGTGGGATAGGGGGTGCGCTAGGAGTATTGACGTGAGGATGGGATGGGAGGTGGTCTCATATTCCAGGACACCCACGGCCTACTGCTCCAGGTGATCATTGTGTACTCAGTGACTGGCCTCTACAACACCATGGACGTAAACCACCAGTACCTTTGTCGGTTCGAAAATACTCGGCCTCCGACCTTTCAGGAGGCCGAAACAAAACGACGGCCGCCGATCAGATTGATCAACGTCGGGCTCGGCCTCCTGAAAGTTCGGGTACTGGCCAGGACTTGTCGAAACCGGATGCCAAAAAGAAAAAAAAAAAGAATAAACATCCGAATGTGGGTACTGCCAACCGCATGAACCACTCTCAGAGTAAGGAATTGGCCGGTGGAACCCCACTACTACGCAGTAACCTAAGCGGTTTGCCTACATGACAAGATTAGATAGGTGGGGCCTGATTCTCATTCTTTTTTTTTTTTTTTTTTATGTACAGTATGTGAGCTGGAAACCAATTCCAGCATCAGTATGCTATGAGGTGTACAGCCCGTCTGTATATGTTGTTGATTCCTGCAACTCCAAAGAGAGCAGAGGCATTGGTTACTTCCCCACGCAGGGGAAGGATTGACCTTCTGCTGATGAATCATATATCCCTATTCAATGATATGAATAGATGTGATATCGCACATATTCTCACTAGCAAAGAAAAACGTGATCACCAACAGTCCTTTCATGCTTAAGAGTTGAGGGTTTGAGAGATGAGCAGCGATCAACCCTAATCAACACTATTCAAGACAGTGAAATCATCTATCCTATCCCCACCCGATGCCAGAGAGAGAGACACGAATCCGCCTGAGAAAACACCAGGTAGGGGTGGGGGGGAACACGAAGTCTTACCTTCAAAAACAAACCCCACTTCAGCAGCCCCAACACGCTACTAATCCCCCCCCACTGCGTGGATGGCGGCATCTCCCCCATGATGCTGATACAGGGCTTGGATGCACACCAACCCCTCTCTTCCCTCCTGCTTCCGTGGTTGTCGTCGCCGCCATCGTCGTGATTGTTGTTGATCTTGTTGCTGTTATTGTTCTCGTCATTGTTGTTGTTTACGCCGTCGTTGTTGTTGCTGTTGTTCTCTCCCTTCTCCTCCATCTCGTTGTTGTCGCCGCCGTTGTTGTTGTTACCGTTGTTGTTGTTGTTGTTGTTGTCGTTGTCGTTGTCGTTGTCGTTGTCGTCGTCGTTGTCGTTGTCGTTGTCGTTGTTGTCATTGTTGTTGTTGTTGTTGTTGTTGTTGTTTTTATCATCCTTCTCACCCTCGTCGCCAATTTCGCCCAAGCCCAGCTCACCGTCGTCGTCGTTGTCGTTGTCGTTGTTGTTGTTGTTGTTGTTGTTGTTGTCCACATTCCAACCCTTCTCTCCGATCTCGCCCATTCCTTGCCTCTCCTCCACCACAACTACCACCTCCTCCATGAACCCCTGTGCCACCTCCCACTCACCCACCTGCTCTCCATTACACTGCCGCAGATGAGTGACACTGTCTATGTCAGCATTCCTGACGCCGACCTGAGAAGAGCGCGCCATCAGGTTCTCCCACCATTCGCCAGCCCTCCCCTCATGTTCATCGCCCTTCTCGCCCACGTCGCCAATTTCGCCCAATCCCAGCTCTCCGTTGTTGTTGCCGTTCTCGCCCTCGTCACCAATTTTGCCCAATCCCAGCTCACCGTCGTTGTTGTTGTTGTTGTCCACCTTCCAACCCTTCTCTCCGATTTTGCCCATTCCTTGCCTCTCCTCCACCACAACTACCACCTCTTTCATGAACCCCTGCGCCACCTCCCACTCACCCGCCTGATCTCCATTACGCTGCTGCAGACGAGTGACACCGTCGACGTCAGTATTCCCGGCGCCGACCTGAGAAGAGAGCGCCATCAGGTTCACCCACCATTCGCCAGCCCTCCCCTCATGTTCATCGATGTCCCTCACATCCCCTTCACGGTCCCTCTGACTATCTACTTCCCAATACACACACCCTGCACAAAGGTTATCATAGTAACTGACCATGTCCTCGTCGTTGAGCTCACCATCCTCTGCATAGGAGACGCCGTCTTCTGTGTAGAAAGAGTATCTCTATGTTGCAACTCCCCCACCAGCTCCATCACATTCCCAAAGAGCTGCGCCCCTAATATGTCCTCGTCTCTCACACAGCTGGCGCTACCCCTGCCCGCGCGTCTCGGCGAGCCACGTCACCTACAGCAGATGCCACGTGGCCAATCAAGGAGTCACACACATCTGCGGGGCGCGCGCACAGGCCCAGCGTCCGAGGAGCTCCCCTCCCCAGACGCTAGTCGAGGCAGGGGAACCGGGTCTTACCAGTCCACCGGTGTCAGGGCGCTCGCGCTAGCGCATTTCCCCGCCCAGCCTGATTC